AAAAAAAAAAACAAAAATTCCATCATGGATTACAAGAAAAAAAAAAAACAATTTCGATCATGGATTACAAAAAATTCGATCATGGATAACAAAAAATTCTATCATGGGTTAAAAAAAAAAAAAACAAAAAATTCGATCATGGATTACAAAAAAAAAAAACAATTGGATCATGGATTACAAAAAAATCGATCAAGTATTACAAAAAAATCTATCATGGATTCCAAAAAAAAAAAAAAAAAAAAATTCCGTACAGGACTCGCCGATTCACTGTTCGGACTCACCGATTCAGTACATTGAATCGGCGAGTCACTGTGCAGAATCGTCCGGTTCTCTCTAGAATCGGACGAATCCCGTTTTTTTCGCCGATTCGATCCGTCCATGGCGATTCCCGAGTCGAACTGGGCGAGTCCGGTTCGACTCGGCGTTTTTTTAAACAGTGCTTATATCTAATTATTCAAGAATTCGACGATAGTTGTTCCATCTTAAGAACTAATTTTTTTTTCAACACAGAGTTATGATTTTTTATCTTTTAGTTATTTTTGTTATTTATCATAAATAATTATTTTTCTGATATTGGTCGCTAGGTTGAGGAGGTTACATTTCAAAAAACTTGGGTTCCTAAAAGTACTCCTAGATGGGATTTTCTGTGAGGATTGAACAAACAATATAGTCCAACAGGAGCATATAATCTTTTGGCAAAACTAAAACTTTGTTTTTGTGGTCCACTCTAACTTTTTCCAAAATGTTATGCACATAATGCTGGCTTTTGGGTGTGCATGTTTACATAGTAGTAGAATTTGTGTCTCTGGTTGCTAATATCAAAATTTGTAGAAGAGGTTCAATAAATAACTTAAATAGAAAGGGATTGTATATAATGAGACCATTTATCTTTGATACAAGTAAGTAACAATTATTTGTAATCATCCGGTGTAAAATCGAACAGCTTGGGGTTCGAAAAATTTTTTTTTTAAAGTTTGAGCTTCGTAAATGGAATAAATGCAGTCACCCAACTTCACATCCAATAATGAATATCAATTGTGAGCACCATGTATCAAAGATAAATGGTCTCATTGTATTCTTTTTCTAAATGGGAATCCTTTGAGATTAAAACAATGCAAAGCTAAAGTAGTAGTCTAAGCCATGGAGTTTAGAGAGGCACTTTGTTGCATGGAAGAAGGGTGTAAAGAAGAGGAAAGCTTAAAGTTTAGTAAGTACTTACATTGAGTATGAAACCTTAGGGAGAGTAACCAAGTTCCAGAAGCTTTATTCTTAGGGAAACTCTTGCCACAATAAGTTTGAGAGGGTCCTAGGAGAATATATAGGGGTGGGAGAGAGGAAGAGTGGGCTAGTGGCTTGGGGAGTTGACATTTGTTGTCTTTGCCCAAGAAAAGGATCTCCCCACTATGGACTTGCACAGTGCACGCCTCAGATAAGGACCCAAAACCATCACGTCTCCATCCACATCTAGGAGGCCTCCATCTCCACTATTTCACTGCCAAAAGGCCTAAAGTTGTGATAGTTGGAATACTCATGTTTACTTTGAGAATATCCTTGAAGATCATCTAGATTACTGTGTAAAAAGTCTAGGATATCCTTAGCGGTGGTCGAGAACAGTGTTTGAGAAGTCGGGTACATATTCCGAATTTCCATTGGGGCGGACAATGGGCCAGCTAGCCAGGCTCGACGTGTCCTAAAAAACTAGAGCACGGGCTACAAAATGTGGCCCTAGGACCGGGCCATAGCTGGGCCGGACTTTGGTCAGGGCCACGACAGGGGCGGCCAATCTCATCCCTTAGTTTTTCTTTTCTTTTTCTAGGCCAGTCCAGCCCTCTTCCTGACTAAGGCTGGCCCCGTAGGGACCCAGGGCCAGAGCTGCCCCGGTCTATTGCCAGCGCTAATTGCTAGGTGTCCAAGCTTAGTTTCCTCGATCCGACTCGGGCAAGTTAGAGCTAGACAGGGTAATGCTTAATACGAAATTGAGTTTTTTTGGAAAATCGAGGAGATGAGTGATTCCTTGGTGTTTCGGCTCAAAGTCCTCCAGCTCCCAATGCCAGGTCAACTTGGGTGATTCAAAATCGGCTCGGAGATACTTATATATGCACCAAGGGAACGATGCCTAGCAAGGATTGGTTATGGCAGTTCAGTCAAGTTTTAAGGCATGACGGGCTCACTGATGAAATTCCCATGTCCACTCCTCTAATTTTGTCAATAATTAACTAACCCGAGAAAATTAAAAAGGACTAGCTCCCTGATTAGTAGACTTGCCCAAAACCTAGTTACGTTATTCTAATTCCTATGTCAACATACTCCACTAGTTCATATTTTGAGCAACTTTTTGCTAGAATGTGTTGGATTCTCTATCTCTTCCAATTTATTTACATTAAGACAAAATTATGACAAGGCAAATTCTGGCTTCTTAAGCAGTAAACCCCACTACAGACTTGGGAAACCAATATAAGCCAAATTCTGGGGTTTTTTTCCCCTTTTAGGAGAACCTGCAAGTTTGTTTAAATATGAGATGTTTCAAAAGGCCATTGAAGCACTAAGTGGTTGTTCTTTAGCCAGAACGAGTCAACTGACAAAAGGAAAATTCCAAATTATTAGCACTCTTGACTCTTGACTGTAATGGTTGTTAGTTTTAGGCTGATTTAGAATTGGAGCATTTGGTGTTTCAAAACAATTTAAATAGATTGTAGGGTGTTTGGCTCGAAACGGCGAGGAACAGTAAATTATCTTTTGTCAAATAAATACATGTGATTGATTGATCTAGTGTTTATTAGTGGATTAAGGTAGTTCAAATGTTTTGAATTCAATTATTCAACTTTTCTTGTCCGACCTCTCGAAATATAAAAATACCCTGATAAATTTTCAGTGTGGTTATGGTGGAGGCAATTAAATCTTGACCGCGGTTCTGCACCTAACCAACTAACTCTATACTTTGATCCGATACGATTGTGACATGTGCCAATCCTTTATATCTATTCTCACATCCTCCATTGTAGCTGCATTACATGATAATGACTTTAAACACTATGAAAATCCCATTTTTAAATTGAAAATTTAGTAAAGGGCAAAGTAAATTTACAGTGTTTGACCCAAAGTTTGATCAAATCAAGCTGTAGCCACAACTAAAAAAACAGGAGCCAATCGTCACTGCAGCTTTTCAAAGAAGTCCAATTTCTCATCACGATTATCATAGGGAGTCCCTTTTTTTCCACTGTGGTTTAAGTGATTTTAAGTCCGATTTCAACTAGAATATATAATGTCACACAATATTATCTCCATAGTTTTTTAATTGGGCTTCAGAAAAACCCTAAAACCAACATTAATGAGAGGATCAAAAGCTTCAGTCCTGGTTTCACTGTTTTACACTTTGCTTATTGGAAAATGGATGGTGTAGAATCATTCCCTAAGGCCACCTAGCTTTAGAGTTTAGACCAAAGATTCGGGGATGTTGTCATGGTGTTGTCATCTATAAGTTCCTTGAGCACCATATGATTAAGATTCGGTATAAGTTTCAAGAAGAATTTGAGGTCTCCTTGTGTCTTTTGATAATAGTTAACTGAGATTTCTCAGTTTTCGGCCTCATTTCGTAGTCTCTCATGTTTGCTTATGCCACAGGCAGAGTAATTAGCCACTGCTGAACAAGGAGAGCCAATTCTCATTGTGGCTTTTCAAAGAAGTCCAATTTCTCACCACTGTTATCATAAGAAGTTTGGTTTTCACAGTGGTTCAAGTGATTTTTAGTTCAATTTCAACTTCAATATATAATATTAACACAATTTTGTTAATTAGGCATTAAAAAACCCTTAAACCAACATTAATGAGAGGAGCAAACTGGATGGTGTAAAATCGTTCCAAGTTCACCTAGCTTCAGAGTTTAGATCAAGGTTTTAAAAAACGGATCGCTGACGGAGGGAAACGATTATGTGTTTACTGTTCTCTCAAATTTCCGTGCATCAATCGGCCACTCAAAAAAATGGGTTGTATTGGTGAATAGGGGGTTTGAATAAGAGAATCAGCTAGATTGGTCGATTTCAGCCTCAAAATTATTTTTAAAAAATCTCTAAAATTTGAAAAAAATCTAATTTTTAATGTTTGGAAAAAATAATGGTATTTCACTATATTTTTTATTATTTTATATAAATATTGAGAACTTGTCCCATGTATGAGTGTTTATTGTATTAAGATAATACTGTATGCATTAGGATAATACTATATCTTACCACAAATAAAAGTAATACTTTGGGGATCAAGGACAAAATACTAACTGAACCGTAGGATATCCATAACACTAAACGTTAAAGAACTGCATCCTCTTTTCTTATTATCCAAAAAGTAATTTTTTTTGTATACATTGTATACAATTAACTTTAGAGGCATGTTGTCATGGGATGTTTTCATGAAGCTGTCGTCAAACTTGTTATGATGCCTAAACCTACGGTTTGAGTCCTCCCTCTTCCACTTCATGGCCAAAACAATTTTAAGCATGCTTTTCTTATGTATAAGAAATCTATGGTCTTCTTCTTTTAAGCGTCGATTGCGTTTCAAATCTAATCACTTTGGCCTAGAACATTATTTTTTCTGGGCACACATAGATATTTTAGCTTTATTATTTATCTATTTATTTTTGAGGGGTGCAGTAGTGATGCAGACATGGAATGATCTAATTTGAATTTTTTACTTACTTTAATTAAAAATTATATTTTGGGGATTTTTAAGAATTATGTTAGTTTAGATTATTAGGGCTATTTTAATTATTTTTTTGTTTAGGGAGTACAAATGGATAATTAGGTGGTTATGAGTTTATCTCGTGGTTAAAGAAAAATAGGGATGAGAGAAAGTAAGGGAATAAATAAAATAGGAGGGTGTCTTTTGCTTATCTTCTTTTTCAGTCTATTTAAAGGGATATTTTCCTTTATTGTAAAGAGCCTATGAATTGAATAAAAAATGGTCTCGTGAAAGAGATTGTTTTGGAGTGGATTCCCTCTCAAACCTTTGAGAGAGAGTATTTTCTCTCAACCTTCTTTCTTTTTATTGTTAATTTTCGGGGTTTCTTCTCTCTCTGCTACTCTCTCAACCTTCTTTCTTTTTATTGTTAATTTTCTGGTTTTATTAACTCTCTGCATCAATTGGTATCAGAGTCAAGCCCTAGTGGAGAAAGTAGAAAAACTCGTACCTTCAGCTGATAGAATAGAAGAGCTCACGCAGAAATTTGCTCAGCTTCAGTGTGAATGGAATTTGGAGAGTAACATTGGAGATCAAGGCAATGAAGGTGAAGGAGGTGACTTTCATCTCGTTCCTATTAAAAATGATTTTCTTGATATCATAGTTCTTATAAAAAATGACATTCCTAAGATCATGTTTCCTATCCATGTCGAAAATCATGTGGAAAATCTTATCCCAGAGAAGGCGTTGGATTTGGAGGATTTTGAGGACGATGTCAATCACAATTTTGTGAAAAATCCTATTTTAGAAAAGGCATTGGATTTTGAAGACATTGTCAATCACAATGTCAATCACAAGCTCATAAATGATGAAAGGATGGCTGAGTTCTAAATATTTGCATTAATCCCTTTTTCTTCAGATTTGGTTCCATTTTTTGACGTATCACAACGATTGATATTTTTAGAGCCAAAAGGGAAAAAGGCAAAAGAAGGATGCAAGTTGATGTAGATCTCATCTTAGCCTACTTCAAAACTCGAGGACGAGTTTTCTCCCACTAAAGGAGATTGATGCAATCATGGAATGACCTAATTTGGATTTTTTTTATGTATTTTAAATAAGGGTTATTTTAATTTTTATACTTTTGATAAAAATAGAGGTTACGTAGGGATAATTGGATTTTTTTAAATATTTTATTTAAGGGTTATATCGGTTATTTTAATTTTTATACTTTTGATAAGAATAGGGGTTACGCAGGGATAATTAGGAGGACATGAATTTCTATTGGGTTTATCTTGTATCGATTGAGTTAGTAAATAGGACAAGGTTAAAATTAAGGGAGTTTTATTTCTATCACAATAGGAAGGCTTCGAGTAAAACATTAAGAGCTTCAGATGGAAATTTAGATAAAACATCCAAAGCGCTTTCTCTTATACAGTTTTTTTTCTCTTTGTATGCCGTCGGTAAGCTCTCTTAGAAGTGATAGGCTTGGCAAGAAAAGACATATACATAGATAGCGATAGAGGTCCGTCAGTAAGCTAAGAGAAAGTGCTTACCCTCGCTTTGAAAGCGCAACCGCTTTCTCTTCTTTCCTTTAAGAACAATAAGCGTCT